ACCACAATCACTATGAACAAGACCAAAACAATCAAACTCAAAAGGAAAATGATTTTGCATTTGGTGGTCCTCTTTTGGTAAACCTGTGCCTTAAGCAACTCTTTATCGGACGATTTGAGATCTTCGGCAGTCTTCGATATGTTGTAGTCAATACGGTCCAACATACTTCCTTGATCTACTATGAGCGTTTCCATTTCTTTGAAGATGGTGGAAATTTCAAGAATTCCCATGGCCAACTTGGAGATCTCTCGCTCACGCTGTGCCAATATTTGGGAATTGGGGTTGTTTTGAATTTGAGTTTGTGCTTGCTGAAGTACCATCTTGGAGTAGTCTTCGATATGCTTGGAGTCTTCCTCGTCAAGGGCAACCGTGGAGGAGTTTCCTGACGATAGGAGCCTGTCGGTCTCAGCATCGTCGTCGTCCTTCAAGAACTTGATGTAGTTGTTCTGCAAGTTTCTGTAAATGAGTGAGCTGTCTTGGATCTTCAAGGCGTATGTCTTTTTGTAGTTTTCAATAATGGAAAGCTCGTCCTGAGTGTAATCAAGCTTAAGGCGCTGAAAGTTCTTTTGTAGAAACTCAAATTTCTTTATAAGCACGTAACAGTTCTCAAATAACTTGGTGGTGTCGTAATTGAGATCCTCGATTCTTGTCTCCAAGCGCTGTTTCTCGTTGTCTCTGGTTATTAGGAGCTTCTTGTAGAGAGAGCTCAATTCGTTAGTCTTAGTCTTAATTGTAGCCAAATTCTCGTCCAATCCATTGGAGATATCAAAGATCGAAGGTGCTATCGGCTTCATCTCGATCTCTTCCGGTGCTGAATCCTTGTATTGTGGTTTCCTCAGTTGATTAGATGACACCCTTCTGGATCCCATAAGGCCCTCCTCTTCTTCTGCTAGGGCCACAAAACGAGAATCTGCATTTTGCTGCCGCCTGGGGATTGTCCTTCTGTACGATAAGTACAAATTGGTTCTGTCTCTGAACATGGCTTTTGATGATGGTGTTCAAAGCGATAACATTGTTGCGGAGTGCACGCTGGCGAGCACTACGAGGCACTGGTTGGGTGCAAAGTGGACCGGCTTTTGGAAAAAAAGAGGATTGTGCATTTTTAAATTTTGTTCTTCGATCTTGCTCTGTACTTTGGAATGAGCTAGTTACTGCTATTATGATTCATGTCTGTTGATTTATCAGACCTCCATCCGAGTGCTGTGCATCGTGTTAACACCTACTCCGATCTAAACCACCCAGTATCAAATCTCTATCAGTGTATATTGTTTTCTATGGTGTACTTTTTCGTCTAAATCTAGTTGTAATAAATAGGGCTACATTGGCGTCATGGAGAAAGTAGCAGTGCCTCTGGACCGTCTCAGCGATTGACGTGATACACCCTCATTCAGCAAATTCGTCAAACTTGTGCTGGACACATTTCTGGAGGAGGAAGGAGACAGCTTGTTGGAAGAATTGCGTGATGAGCCCTTTAGGTTGAAGGAGCTGCCTGCTCGACTTAGAATTCCCTTGTTTCTCGAGCTGGGTGCCAGTCCCACAGGTGTGGTGGACCTAGAGGTATTTTCCTCAAATCGCCTGTTCACTTCATCAAAGTTGATGTTGGACCCTGGTTGTGGGGGTTGGTAAGCGGGTGACAACGTATCTTGAACATCTCCACGAATAGCCTCGTTGTAACTTGGTACTCTGCCCATGTCTTCCGAACCGAGGTTACTGTCCGAATTAACACGGGAAAGATGAACAGGAGGCGTCATGAGGCCTGGTGTTTGCACGTGGTTGTTGTGAAGTCCGCCAGGTGTACTCAAATGGGAGTTGGTGCCACTATAGCTGCCGTATCCATGAGAAAGTTGGTGATGTAGGGCAGGTCTTCTGTTGAAATAATCACCACCTTCCTGATCACCATCCATCGTGAACACAGCTCTCTCACGAGATGCTGGTGACAGCATGGTGTTACCATCAAGGCTCTCCTGTAACTGTCTCTGGACACTAAGTTGTCTCAAGTTTTCTGTCAATTGGGCTGTATCAATGCTGCTCATGCTGAACTGCAGCACGTCGCTAGGACGAGATCTGGGCGTCGATGCTCCAGATGCCATGGGAGAGTCCATGGGGGACACGTCTGACCACAACTTGTCATAGACATGCTGCTCATACATGGGTGGCGCCACAAGTCCGGTGAACGACGAGTAGGAGTGAGGGTTCGAACGGAGCGTGTCCTCAGACTGATCCTCACTGGCTTGACGTACATCCACCTCGTATTGTTGTAGATTGGTCAAGGAAGTGTTGTGTGGGTCACTGGAGAAGAGCACCTCTTCATCGTTTTCAGTGTACTCTTGTGGATCTTGAGCATCACTGTTCTCCTCAGTTCTGGCTCTCACAGTAACGAAGGGCGAGATAAAAATCTGCACAGGCAAAGAAGCTCTCAATTCTGACGTATGTCCGTCAGGGTTGCACAACCCAATATTGAATTTAAGTTTGTGTCTAACCTTAAGATGCGTCTGGATGTCACAGTCCTGAGTACACTTTGACAAACTGGGAGGGATGCGGAGGAAGGTGTCTATCTCCCATTTGTCCAACTGGAAATTTTCGTCGGCTTGCTGCATGGGTATGATCTTTTCGCAGACGATTCTTTCGTCAGTATGTGGTGGGGGAAGGTACCCGACGTAGGAATAGAGCTCAACTAACGAGATTCGGATCTCACCAAGCCGCAAGCCTTTGAGAAGGGGTACCAACATAAGGGAGATTGGAGTGCCTGAGCCAACTGCAATGGCTTTACTAGGAACATTCAAAGAGTACTCAACTTTTTTGGGCCATGTATTGTCCACAGCAACAGTCTCTGAGAGCTCTACAGAGTCTGTAGTCATCGTTCTGACGACTCTGACATGCTTTTTGGCCACCATGGGATGGTGGAACTTGCCTCTGTCGATCGTCGATTCAAGCTTGTAGACAAGGCTTGCACCTGGGAGACCCTCGATCGACTCGGGCATATCACCGGGCAAAATAGCGCTGAATGGAAACTCGTAGTTGCCCTGAACAAGCACATGGTTGCCTCTTGGGGTCAAATTCGAAGTGGAAGAGCTTGAAGAATTTCCGTTGTGACCAGACAGACTATGTGATAATGATGAAGAGGACATCGAACGGAAAGTCATGCCCAAACTCTTCAATGACGTGGATGAAGCTTTCGACTTGATGGGGCTTCTGGCGAGCCCGTTTGGCGGACTGTTTGGAGACTGGCCAGAGAAACCTTGGGAGCCGTTGCCGTTTGAGTTTTCGTACATGTTGTTCAAGTACTTTGTGATTTCAGCAGGGTCCCAGACGTACTCGTAGACCTTCTTCTCGAACCTGGTGGGCTTAGGGACGGTGCCTCGGGTGTCAGTGTACTTCAAGCGAAGGGTACCATACAATCGGAGGGTGATTTTCTTCAAGGAGATGGGTTCATTCACAGAAAGCACGATTTTGCCGCTGATGAAGGTGGAAGCAGCATTGTGCTCCGAACCCTTGAGTAGGAGGACATCATGCTGGCAGTTTTTCAACCTGATATCGAACAAGGCAGTCAGCCTGGACGACTTCTGCTTCGGCATGATGCAAGATGGGTGTTACAGCACGAGGGGGGGGGTCCACAGTAGGTTGGTGGAACAATAAGTTAGTGAAGTATATCAAAGAATTGTGCCACCCTTTTTTCTCTATACACCTTACAGCGATAAACGCATTATTTCTTTTTGGCGCGGTAGCGCAGATGAGCGCAATAAAAGCAACATGCTGTCAAACGACAGGTTTTCCCGAGCTGACCCACGGAGGCCCCGTGACTCATTTCTATATTCAGCAAAAAGCTCCCAAAACCAACGTACACCGTCATATAAATGTCGGACCCCTCCGAGCCGTCCGCAGGCGATAATCTCGGGCTTTGAGATCCGCGATGTGGTATTGACATGACCATCACGTGCGGCGACGTTGTGTTTGGTGCTCTGGCTGGGTTTCGCTCTAGGGCCTATTTTCCCGAGCCCGGGTGCATACACCGCGTTCGCTTACGTCTGGTAGCATAACCAGATTGATCTAGCGCAAGCAGGGCTGGACATGAACAAGAAAAAAATATAATCTGTAAAAAGCAAAAGTCGTGTGCGTCTTGGCCCCGAAAACGCCAAACCTGCGACAAGAAATAGTCAGGGCTTCGACAAGGCCAGGGGTTCTTTTTCTCTTGCGCATTGGGGCTGTGATTGAGGCGGCTGTAGGAGAGCCGATAAAGATTTTTTTTGCCTTTTTTTTTTTTTTTTTTTTGCAGGCAACCATCTTACGATAGTCAGTGGGTGAGAGGGATCTGCTGAGCAGCCGTGCTGGCGCTACGACTCGCCTACGCAAGTTCAGCCCCTGGTTTCGGACAAATCCAACATTCCCGTCCCACGTCGCTCGTAACGACGTACATGGTTGTTCGCTGCCAAAAACGGACTCCAAACGGCGCACTCTGCGTAAGTAGTTGTTAAGCCAGCCATTCGCACCAGGATTTCGCAGCCATTCCAGCGCCCGTAGCCACCATCACCGACGATGCCTCGTTGAAGAAAAATCAACGTTCGATCAGAAAAGCAAAAAAATAGGAAAAATCAAAATTAACTCTCGTAATCATGTGCAATTGTCGCCCCATTGTGGGTCTCCCCCCTGCTAAGATTCTCGTCAAGCAGACCCTGCTGGAAGGTGGCTGGCTCGCACTCTCCAACTGGCAAGATAGCTCAATTCGTCAGGCACCCCTGCCAAAGGATGTTCGTACGCAGCAGACGCCGCTTGACATTTCAAGAGCCACCAGCTTTTTCTTTCCCTTTTCGCTTTGTCGCCCCTGACGTCTTCCCCCTGGGCCTGTCAGTATAAAACCTCCTCGCCGTGCCGCTTTTCTCATCGTCTGCTGGGTCCGCACACTTCCCACACCATAGACGTTTAGACCCTCCCTTCCGGTCCTCAGCCGCCCCGGCTCCCCAGTCCCACTTCCTACTCGGTCCAACTCACGACATTCCTTTACCATGGCCCAGGCCTCCCCGAGTAGAACCCCAGTGCTGCCAGACAGATGCCTCAAGAGAGCCCGTCTGCTGCGATCTCCTCCTACAACGCCTACCCCGGTGTTTCGCCTGCTTTCGCTGGGCAACGTGGCCAGAAGACGGAACCGCTACCGCTTGGCGTCCCCCGGTCCAGAAAGTGACCCGGTGCTGCAACTCAGTGACCTGGAGTTCCAGTTCAGCACGCCCTTTTGCCTGGATGCCTCCGACTCAGAGTCGCTTCCGGAGCTTGTCGAAGACCTGTCGACGCCCAGCACGCTCCAGAGCCCGGCCACGCCGTTCCGCCCGAAAGTGTCGTACTTTGACAATTTCGAGCTGCCATTAAAACGGCTTTCTCTGGCCCCGGCATTGACTCCACGGTTCGTTGAACCACCTGTTTCGCAGCCATTCCTGCCGCCAGCACAACCAGCATTTTCACCGCTGCACCTCCCGCAGCCCGTTTCGCAGCCATCTATATTCGACATCCCCGAGTTGGTCCACAAAATCATCGTTTACGCCGATGCCCAAAACACCGTGGTGCCGAGGGAAAAGACCCCCGTGTGCCGCAAACCTCTCTCATATCGCCACGCCTTGCTAGTGCACGGCAACGAAAAAGCAGCCCACCTCGCCATGCAAGGTGCATACCTAGACGAGCCAACGCCAGAAAACACCCTGAACGTGCTCCACACATGCCTCCTCGTTAATAAGCTCTTCCACAGAGTCGCCAAGGAGGTGCTTGGCGAGAAGCTTTTCTTCACTGATGAGCGCACATTCGGCAAATTCATTGATCCATCCAAACCCCAGCACTTCTACGACGGCATGTCCCCGAAAACCTTGGTACTTTCCAAGATGTTCTATCTTCGCCAGGCCCACTTCGCACTGCTTCCTGAAAAAATGGACTTATCCAGGCTCGAGTGGCTCGAGCTCTACATGTGCCCTAAAGTCGCACCCACCGTCTCTTTTTTGCAACCGTCCCTCAAGACATTGATTGTCACGGGGTCCAAGGCGCTAGACGACTTTGCCCTTGTGGAGGTGGCCCAACGCTGCCCCAACCTCCAGGTTTTGGATGTCAGGGCCTGTGAAAACGTCACCGACCACGGCATCTACAGCATAGGCCAGAAGTGCAAGAACCTCACCACCCTCAACCTCGGCCGCAAAAGAAGAGGCCATCTAATTACCGACCACAGTGTCTGTGCTGTGGCCGTCAACAACCCCAACTTGACCACCGTGGGTGTAGCCGGGTGCTACATCACCGACCGTTCAATTTGGCAACTCACTCTCACCTGTGGAAAGCGCTTGCAGAGGCTTTCCTTGAATAACTGTCCCTACGTTAGCGACCAGCTGGTGCCGGTAGTGCTCCACCACAACTTGTTGCAGAACCTCACTGTGCTCGAGATCCGGTTCGTCAATAGAATTACAAACTTTGAGCCAATCATCGCCTACAAGAGACGCCAGGCTGCTCGTGGTCTCAATGTGCTTGTTGAAACCTGCGAGGAGCTCTTTGTGCGCATGAGGGACCAGGCCAAGAACATGGACCGGGTCATTCTGGAGCGAGTGGTGAGAGACATCAGCGAATGGGCTAACGGAAAAGACGACGACATGGCAGCCGCAGACCTTCTAAGAACCAGAAGTGTCGGCTCGCGTATAATAGCATAAGCATAGTATGGCATGAACCATTGTAGATGAGAGTGCCATTGTTTTCCAACCCGTTCATCCGACAGGTCTTGTGAAAGCGGGCAATTACCGAAAGTTCTTCAAATCAGAACGGCTGAATTTAATGACATCTCACATGGAGTGAAGACTCTGCCGCAGTGGCTGCGAAAAGCCCCAGTCCCAACGGTCCCGTATACACCTGTCAAACCTGTCACCCCACATTTTGAAACATTCACATACGCTTTTCCAAAAATCTAAACGATATGTGCCTTAAAACATCCTAAAGATAATCAGCTCCCGCCTTTTCTTTCTTTCTTTTCCAATTGGCTGGCCCGTTCCTTGTTAGCCCACCGAAGCATTTCTGCATAGACGCCGCGGGCATTGTGTTTTTTGTCTCTCTCTTTCAGGCCAGGCGCGCCAGGGCCCATATCCCCTTCAAACAACCTTCTTTCAATCGCTTAGCAACAGCTCAACCCAAGGTTCATCTTCCAGCCTTACGACTCCTTTTTATCAGGTTTAGCCTTCACAACCCCAATAGACTTTTCCATCTCGGGATGTCACTTCGACTATTAGGCAAGGCACCGCCGGAATCCTCTGCTATGCCTATTATGGCAAGCACCGATTCACTCACCACGGATCTTGTGAACACTAGAACGTTGCTGGAATCAACGGACTCGAATACTGCATCAACATACTCGAACCTGCCCGTGTCCCTGCCCCTAGATCACGACAAACACTTGACTCTGCATCCATCCAAGTTGGACCTCATAGACCACACAACGCTTACCTCACTACCGCTTCCTCCGCCTCCAGCCCGTTCCAGACTCAAAAGAGGCCACCTGGCACCCTTGTGTCAGACTACATCTAAAAAGCTCTCGAGAGACCCCAGCGGTTCGCTTGACGAGACCTTACTTGAAGAACCAGACATTGCTGACGTGACAATAACATCTGAGTACGTGGACGAGACTTTTGAAGAATCTGAGGACCTTATTGTCTTGGTCGAAGACTATATGGCTTCTCACGACGTGGGCAGGCAGTTGGATAGGAAGAAATCGCTCCTCTCGTTTAAGAAGCGTCTACACGGTGACCGCGGTTCCGTAAATTCCGACCAGTCCCCCAGCAAAAGACTCGAATTGACCGAAGCAAGAGATCACGAGAATTTGGAAGCTATCTTTGGAAGAATTCCCGGAACCGACCGTCTCAAACACTGCTGTCTATGTGACCGACCCCTTTACGAAATAAGCTCCATCCTCGGCAACAGTGAATCCGTACGCAAAGGAAACTGCAAATCAAGTCAGCTTTGTGACGAGTTTGTCTGCTGGGACTGCGTCGACGTCTACGAACTGTTCTTGAGCGAACTTGGCGAGATGGAAGCACATGACGAGCAGGCCAAAGTTGAATCCACAAAGCGCCTCTTGGACATCTTCACCAGCATCAAAGACAATTATCAACCTCCCCCTACTGACAGTTCAAAGATCTTCTCCACTGGTCTAATAGAACAGCTTCATCACTTGAGTGATGTTGCAACGCTGGAAGAGAAGGAGCCAGACTGGCTCGTAGCGCTCAAACACAAGCTAAGGTGGAGATGGCGTATAAATGGGCTTTTACCAAACCCATTTAGCCAGAGTCTGGTAAAGCTGACCTAATTGTCATATCATTCCCGGTCCCACCCTGGGCCACCCGTACACCACTAGCATATACATAATGACTTACGATTTATACCATCGCCTAACGCATCATGATCTTTTCCTCCGTAAGACTAGGCAGCAAGGCTGGCAAGAAGTTCATGAGTCTTGAAGAATTCCTACTACGTCAAAAAATCTTACACACATACAGAGGACTCATGCGTCTAATATATAAAAGTCATGAAAAAAAGGAACTTGCGAAGTTCGCCAGAGAAGAGTTCCACTTGAACAAGCATGAGACAGATCTAGCTCATAGAAAGTACCTTCTCCTGACTGGAGAGGCTCGCATAAATGAGATGAGCAAGCTTCTTGGACTCAATGCTAATTTTTGAGAGTCTAAAGTCTCAAGGTAGAGAGCTTGAGTGCGTCCTTGATAGACTCAAACTGGTCGCTCACAAACTCCTGGTCAAGTTGCAAGCTCAGTGTTATATCAGTCAGTAACTGAGGTGCCTTGCTCACAATCTTGACCATTTCAATTTGCATCTCCCCAGCAGCTTTAGAGATAGCCTTATCGCGTACCAATATCTGGGTGATCTTGATAAGCTCAAATGTGTCCAATAGTATACGATGACGCTCCACAGAAATCTCAGGGACTTTTTGGATGTAGCTGTTGTTGATCTTCTTCATGTCGAGATTCTTCACAAGGTATTTTGTAAGCAGCTCCTTGTCTTTCACATCGTTCAACTTTGACAACTTGAAAATTGTGATGTAAAGCTTGACAAGATGTTTTTCAAAGTCACTTAGTTGTGAGAGATACGTTGCATTGCTAGTCCACTTGTTGTAGAGCTTGATGAGTTTTTCACATTCAGCTTCATCTTTTTCGGCAATGAGCATCTCCTTGAGGTAGTTCAACTTCACATACTCAGTAGCCTTCTGCTTTTCATAGTTAAAAAGATCGAGCTGGGGAAGATCGACGCCGAGATTGTACTCCGATTTGAAGTCTCTGTTATCCCTCAAGACAAAATCATCGCTGAGAATTATAGCCTTTGCATCCCTCATCTGTCTGTAGAAGTAATTATAGTAGTCATTGCCAACCATGCGGGATGTCTTGAGGATTCGAAGTATCAACAAGTGTCTCAGTAATGAGTCCGTAAGACGCTTGCCGAAGTCATAAGAGTCCTCGGCTTTGGTATATAAGTTGTCCTGGAAACACTTATGAACAAAAGGGCCAACCTCTGAGTCTGCTGTCATGTAGAACCTGTAGATGTTGATGAGCTCGCCTAGGTTTCCCACGGAGGGTAATAAATCGAGCTTATAAGAGAGTGTATCATGTTGAATCATCTTGATCTTAAGGCTCTTGTGCACTTTGAGAGCAGCAGGTGCAGCATTAATAGCGGTGTAAAGATTGAGAAGCCATACCTTGACTTTGTAGTTCTCCGGGTCTTTAGCGCTGTAGTTTTCAAGTGTAATGATATGCTTGACAATGTTGTTAGTGGACAGATCGGCACGCAAAGACTCAATCATCTTCACCAATTGCAAGTCGATCAACTCTGGGTTCTCAAATTTCGAGAACTGCTCAGTCTCAAGATCGATTTTTTTGAAATGAAGCAAGATTTTAGATAAATTCAGAAGGGTAGTGGCTTCATTTGATGTGAGCGAAGATTTGGTAGAGAGATCCTCGTAGTCAGCAGTGATACTTTGTATTGCGCTTTCAGTAAGCTCGAAGGTGAGGAGATCAGATGCACCTGAAGGTTTGGCATGAAACTTCTTGTAGAAAGCATCAATGGCCAGCTCCTTGTCAAGACCGTATGTAGTTGCCAAGTGAACATTGGCAAAATAGGAGTTTCTGCTGTCAAGCTGGATAAGACTGGCAAGTTCATCGTGCGGTTTCTCTAGTTTGTGGGCAGAATTGATCAAGTGCTTCCACGTAGAGTAGTCATTGAAGTTTTGTTTGAACAATAGATCGTAGGCCTCCAGATAGAGCTGCTCCCAGTTAGCTGACTTATTGAGGGAGTCAAGGTACAAAAGAACAAGCTCTAATTCTCTGTGCTTCAAGGGCTGGAGAAGCTTCACGACCTCCTCGTACTTTTCTTGAACATGCAAGATTTTGGCTTGGACGAAAACTTCCTGGTTTGTCTCGTGGGGAGCCAACTTATCGGCCATGCCGGTTGCCAAACCAAGGTAAAGGGCCTTCTCCTTCTCTGTTCCCCGACCACTGAGAAGATAGCATGCAAATGCCGCTCTGTATCCATATTCTCTATTCAGCTCGAAGTTCTTCAGCAACTGCATGGACGCTTTCTGGACACCGGCGGTATCGTAGTTACCCAATGCCTTCTCGAAGTAAGCCTCGATCAATTCTTTCGTGGGGTATTTCTTGACGGCGTTATCATACAATTGGTTCGCCTCTTTCGCCAATCCCAACTTCAAGTATAAGTCATAGAGCACGGATAACGCTTGTCTGTCGCTAGGTGTCTTCAGCGCTAGCTCTTTGCTTTGAGCGATCGACTGTGCAATCTTGCCCTGGGCATAGAGAAGGTAGCAGTTCAACGCCCAGTAGTAGGATTTATTTGGAAAGCGCTTGAGAAGACGCTCCAACTCTAGTTTGGCCAGCGATAAGCGGCCTTCCTGGATCGCTGCTAGCACGTCCGATTCGCCCATGGTGTTGGAAATGAAAAAGAGCGCACTGCATCGTTAAGAGGAAGTAGGTGGTGGGACGAGCCCGAGATATGATCTACGAGAAATTTCAGAAACTGATTTCACTTCGGAAGGAGAAGAGATATTTTATAGATTTTTCTCTTCTACGTTTTTTCCACCCCTGTTATTGTGGGGTTGCGTGGGCTGACGGTGAGGTTTCCAGTGCGCCCTTGATATAGCGAGCCACTTACAAAACCAAGAGAAATCAAAAAAGACAATAGTCGGCAATATCCCAAATTGGTCAAATTGTGGAAGAACGTCATGGGAATTGCAGTCACACGAGGCCATCCTTGCTACATTTATACAAATTACCAAAAAGTGTTCATCTCCGACAGGGACCAATTCCGAGACATGTTCGGGTTCGGCCCGACCCCCATCGACCCTGCCTACACCATCACCACCGGGCCAACCCAACCCCAGATCAGAGGAACCCCTCAAAAGATAAGCCATCGTACGTTGGGCCCAGCCGGCATTCTCCGCCCCGAAACCGCCGAACCCGCTGAAACCCGCCTGCCTGAACCCCTTCTTCAGAAATGGACCGATTTCTCGGTATTCGTTTTCGTAAATATCCAACCTCGTTGTGGCCTTCCGTGGCCGTTGACGTATCTGCTGCCGCGGTGGGGCCGGCACACGATGCCTCTTGATTATGGCCACAACAGAGACACAAGAAATTACCGGCTGTTGGGTGCCGTAGAATTAGCCCACGTTTTCTGCGCGCAGAAGCGAGTCGCTTCTAGGGCTTCTTTGCTCCGATCGTACCGTCATGCATTTTCCCAGCCCACTTTTCGTGCGTTGGGCTAAATAACCGGCTCCAATTGACCATCTCTGAATTCTTTTGCTGTCCTAACGATTTGCAACCCATCTATGATTTTCACAATCAACTAATTCTAGAAGAGGGTGATTTCTGGGCTTGGCTGGGCGGACTGCGAGGGGTACCGTGAACCCGCACAAGACATGGAGCCGTTTTGGGACTCTTGGGAAGCGCCACAGCGAAAGCGGACTACCAACGGAATCCTTATCTGTGGCAGTGCAAAACGAAGTTTTCGACCCTGGGCCTGGCTTTATTTTGCAAATTCTTGATTCCCGCCGTGTGGGCCGTTGCTCTAATGCTCTTAACGTTGCCATTTGCGTTCACATGCTTTGCCTTTGTGATGCGCCCCAGATCTGTGGTTCGTCACCCCGGAAGGCGCTATCTGGCTGCAAATGCTCGTACTGTTTTTCCGTGCTTGCCGTCCTTGGCCCAATTCCAGCTAGTCGACGAACCCAACGTTTTCAGCTTTTCTTAGTACAACAAACAAAGATGCTGTTTTTCACCTAAGCCTGGATCTTAGGCGTTGTCACCTCACATCGTACTTAATTACCGTTGTGCTTCCTTTGCGGTCATGTCATCGAACGCCCCACATTTTAGCCACAACTTAGTCCACCTGGCACGTACTAAACACCTCTTCAACTACAAAATCCCACTACAAACACATTTCATAGCTCTCCCTTACGCCCCATCAGTAAATCATGTAGGTAGATCGCCGGTGACGCTTGGCTTCAGTTTCGCACCTAAGCCAGCCAACCATATTCACACCATCAGACCTTCGTCCAGTTGGTGCAGTCGTCCATACCAGTCATTCTGTTGAACCGTGAGTAGTAGTCGCCAAGCTTGACGGTCGATGACTTCATCCGAGGGTGTGTTAACGCGATAAGCGAAAAATGCAACCAGCGCTATTCGTCGCTGCGATAAGAACAGGCATAGTAGCCAGCGCCTAGATCATCTGTGCAGCACAGCTGTCCCATCCTACCCGTGACCAACCATTGTGGTATAGGGCAATTTCTTTGTCAAAAATGGGGGTCCGTGGGGCCGTGATGGGTGTGGTGGGGTGACTGCATCGGATTACCATTTTGTAAAACCACATCAACAGAGTCGCTGGAGAACCCCGAAAGCCAAGTTGTTCCGGTACCTCGGGGGAGGGGCAGGCCGAGGGGCCCTGGCTAAGAAATCCGAGAAGCTGGTGCCAAGAGTGTGCCATGCAGGCCTGGCGTAGAGTCCCAGATATTGGCACCACCGCGGACGCCTTGGGTGTTGCTGTGCAATTACAGCAGGACTGCACATAGCGTGGGGGACACCCACTATTACACACACTCAGGGCCACACCACAAGAATCTCGTCGTTTTTCCGGTCCGTCCAAGAAAGGCTTGTGTGGTACCAACTACTGCACCTGGACTTGGACCCGGGGTCTTGATCAAAAAAAAAAAAAAAAAAAAAAATAAAATACGGTACTCGCCGCGCAAAACTCTGCTTTATCTGTATAAAAATGACCTGCACTACAACGCCGTGC